CCCTGCTTTGAAAGGATGCTCTGTTTTGGTAAGACTCTCAAACTGTGGGAGATTTCTGTTCAGAAATATGAAAAGAGAGAAAGGAGCCTGAAATAGGACACCAGCTGGAACCCCTGGGTCTGGAGGGCTCACCTAGGATATCAAAGGCAGGCAGTACATCAAATTCCACCCCCTCGTTGAGCCGGCGGGACCTGAGCACGAAGCTGAGTGCGCGGGGCCTCTCCCACAGCTGCTTCTGGACCTCAAACTCCACGTCAAATGTTTCCTCTCTTTGACAGGCTTCCAGCTGCCTCCTAATTTCCCGGATGAACTCTCCTCGGCGCTCAAACTGCTCCTGCAAACTTGTGAGGTAGTCAATGAAGACCACGAGATCAGCATCAGATCGGCCTCTGAGGGTCGTGCCTTTGCCTGAGGAGCCGCCCTAAAACAGATGAGAATGAGAACTCACCTTCATTGAGAAGAGCCTCCCTAAATAAAGTGACAATCACCTGAGTACAATCACGAATATTCTTGAGCGCCAGCCGTGTCCTGAGGGCATTTCCAGTCTTAACTCCTCCAATGCCCACCAGGACTCTATGATTTACCTTCTATTGTCATTAGTTCCCACTTTACAGCTGGGGAAACATGCTGAGAGGGATCGTGTATCAGCCCAATGACACAGCTAGGAGGCAGCAGAGATCAATTTAAACCCTGGCTGCCTTGTTCTAGAGTCTGTTCTTTACTCCCTGTCGGTTACTACCTTATATTATTATACACTGCAGACCAGCCCATGCTGGGTGGTTTCCCTGCCTTATTTTACAGAATCTGCACAGTCTATAAGGTTTTGGGGATTATGGACGAGGAGACTGAGGCACAGAGAGGTTAAGTGACTTGTTCAAGGTTTCACAGCCATAGGTGCTATCTGCTTTCAGAAGTTATTGTCTTAACCAGCTGGTGATACTGCAGAAACTGCGAGTCCCCAGCCTGGCTATTACTTAGCAGGTGGTTGATCAGAGCTGAGCCTCAGTTTCCCCATCTCTGAAATGGTGTGGCTTGGGATGGTGGTTCATAAACTTGATCGGGCATTCGTTAAAAAATTACAGATGTAGGACCTCACCCTGGAAGCTATTTTAACAAGCTATGGTTCTACCCTTGGTGTGCATAAATCAGAAACCGCCAGCCCCAGACCTGGCCCTTTTGCCCTCTCTCTTTCTCTGGGGAAACTCTTGCCCATTCAGCCACCCTTCCCCAGTCAGGCAGGCCTGGGCTCACCTTCACCACTTTCGACACCCGTACTGCGTGGGGGGCATCTCGGAAACACCTCTCCTTCAGGAAACTGCAGATAATGTCGATGGCTTCTCGGACCTGCCTGCGGAATTGCGTGTCTGGCAGGAGGTAGTCTTCGATGAACTTGTCCAGATTTCTGGCTGGGGTATTTCTGAGATCCATCGTGATGCTCGGGCAGGGACAGGAGAGCCAGTGGCTGCAGAGCTGGCTCCTGGAAACTGCCAGCCTCTCTCTTTTATGCTGCCTGAGCCTGGGCTGCCGTTTGGTTTCGTTTTCTTGGAAGGAGGGAGGTGTGTCATTCGTCTTTGCCTCTTAGCAAACCAAACACTCCTTTGATCCCTGAGCTGCGTCTGCCTCCCAGCTCCTTCCTCCACTCCCAGAAATTTACTCTCCTTTAACCAGCAGCCTAGAACATCCAGCCTTTCTTCAGACTGTACTCGGAAAATGTTGCTTTGTAACCTCCATTAAGACAGCACGCAAGAGAAATTGTAATTAAAACACGATTTTTTAATTTCCTTCTTTGTCTTTTTTTTTGTTGCTGACAAAATTGTTTTCTAGTCTCTTATGATTTTTACAGCAGCTTGTGCATATTACAAAAAGAAAAAAAGTCAGAAAAATCAGGAAGCGTAAAGACCATCTATGATCCTAAAACCCAAAGGTGACCACTGTAAACATTTTGGTATAGGTCTTTTCAGATATTTTTCTAGGTAAACACACACACATACACACACTTAACAGTTCTCTTTTCTGTTTTTTAAAAATGGCATCATACTATATTTTTTCCTTTTTATTAATAGAATTTATTTCTTACAGCAGTTTTAGGTTTACAGAAAAATTGAGCAGAAAGTACAGAGTCCCATATGCCCCCTCTCCTTCCACCCATAATTTCCCCCATTATTAACCTCGGTATGGTACGTTTTTCACAATGGATGAATTGATATACAGTCATGCGCTGCGTAACCATGTTTTGGTCAACAAGGGACCGCATATACGGTGGTCCCCTAAGATTAGTACCATACGGCCTAGGTGTGTCGTAGGCTGTACCATCTACGTGTGTGTAAGTACGCTCTATGATGTTCGCACGACGACGAAATTAACTAGCGACGAATTTCTCAGACCCTATCCCCGTCGTTAAGCGACGCATGAATGCAGACGTGTTATTATTAACTGAGGTTCATAGTTCACATTGGGGATCTCTGTGTTGTACATTCCATGGGTTTGTCAAATACCTAATGTCCTGTATCCACCATTATGAAATTATGCAGAATAGTTTCACCGCCCTAAAAATTCCTTTGCTCCATCTGTTCATCTCTCTCTGTGTTCAGATCTTTCTTCTTTTCTAATAAATGCATTCAATGCTAAAATTTCCCTCAAGCACTGCTTTCAGTGTCTCACAAATTTTAAATGGTTGTTTTTTCATTTTTGTTTTGTGCAAAGTGTTTTTAAATTTCTCTTGAGATTTTTTCTTGTTTTTTTTACTTTCCTCATTTTTTATTGATGTCATAATAGTTTATAACTTTGTGAAATCTTAGTTGTACATTAGTGTTTGTCAGTCACCATATAAATGCATCCCTTCACCCCTTGTGCCCACCCTCAAACCCCCTTCCCCCTGGTAACCACCAAACTGTTCTCTCTGTTCGTGTGTTAGTTTATCTTCCACATATGAGTGAAATCATGTGGTGTTGATCTTTCTCTGTCTGGTTTATTTCACTTAACATAATACCCTCCAGGTCCATCCATGTTGCAAATGGGATGATTTTGTCTTTTTTTATGGCTGAGTAGTATTCCATTGTGTATATATACCACATCTTCTTTATCCACTCATCAGTCGAGGGACACTTGGGTTGCTTCCATGTCTTGGCTATAGTGAATAATGCTGCCACGAACATAGGGGTGCATAAGCCTTTTTGGATTGTTGATTTCAGGTTCTTTGGATAAATACCCAGTAGTGGGATAGCTGGATCATAAGGTATTTCTAGTTTTAATTTTTTGAGGAATCTCTCTACTGCACCAGTTTGCGTTCCCACCAGCACTGAATTAGGGTTCCTATTTCTCCACATCCTCTCCAACATTTGTTATTTTTTGTCTTGGTGATTGTAGCCATCCTAACGGTTGGAAGGTGATATGTTAGTGTAGTTTTGACTTGCGTTTCCCTGACTGCTGATGTTGAACATCTTTTCATATGCCTGTTGGCCATCTGTGTATCTTCCTTGGAAAAATGTCTGTTCATATCCTCTGTCCATTTTTTGATCGGGTTTGTTTTTTTGTTGTTCAGTTGTGTGAGTTCTCTATATATTATGGAGATTAACCCCTTGTCAGATATATGATTTGAAATATTTTCTCCCAGCTGGTGGGTTGTCTTTTCACTTTGATCCTGGTTTCATTTGCCTTACAGAAGCTCTTTAGTCTGAAGTCCCACTTGTTTATTTTTTCTTTTGTTTCCCTTGTCTGAGTAGACATGGAATTCAAAAAGATCCCTCTACGACCAATGCCAAAGAGCGTACTGCCTATGTTTTCTTCCAGGAGTTTTATAGTTTCAGGTCTTACCTTCAAGCCTTGGATCCATTTTGAGTTAATTTTTGTGTATGTCGAAAGAAAATAGTCTACTTTCATTCTTTTGCATGTGGCTGTCCAGTTTTCCCAGCGCCATTCATTGAAGAGACTTTCCTTTCTCCATTGTATGTTCTTAGCTTCTTTGTTGAAGATTAGCTGTCCTTAGATGTATGGTTTTATTTCTGGGCTTTCAATTCTGTTCCATTGATCTGTGTGTCTGTTTTTATACCAGTACCATGCTGTTTTAATTATTATAGCTTTGTAGTATATTTTGAAGTCAGGGATTGTGATGCCTCCAACTTTGTTCTTTTTTCTCAGGATTGCTTTAGCTTTTTGTGGTCTTTTGTTGCCCCATATGAATTTTAGGATTCTTTGTTCTATTTCCATGAAGAATGTCTTTGGGATTCTGATTGGGATTGCATTGAATCTGTAGATTGCTTTAGGTAGTATGGACATTTTAACTATGTTTATTCTTCCAATCCATGCACATGGGATATCTTTCGTTTCTTCATATCACCATTGATTTCTTTCAATAATGTGTTATAGTTTTCATTGTATAGGTCTTTCACCTCCTTGGTTAAATTCATTCCTAGATATTTTATTCTTTTTGTTGTGATTGTAAATGGGATTGTCTTCTTGAGTTCCCTTTCTGTTAGTTCATTATTAGAGTATAGAAATGCAACTGATTTTTGTAAGTTGATTTTGTACCCTGCAACTTTGCTGTAGTTGTTGATTATTTCTAATAGTTTTCCAATGGATTCTTTAGGGTTTTCTATATATAAAATCATGTCATCTGCAAACAGCAAGAGTTTCACTTCTTCATTGCCTATTTGGATTCCTTTTATTCCTTTTTCTTACCTAATTGCTCTTGACAAAACCTCCAGTACTATGTTGAATAAGTGTGGCGAGAGTGGGCACGCTTGTCTTGTTCCTGTTCTCAGAGGAATGGCTTTCAGTTTTTCCCCATTGAGTATGATGTTGGTTGTGGGTTTGTCATATATAGCCTTTATTATGTTGAGTTACTTTCCTTCTATACCCATTTTGTTGAGAGTTTTTATCATAAATGGATGTTGGATCTTGTCCAATGCTTTCTCTGCATCTATTGAGATACTCATGTGGTTTTTATTCCTCATTTTGTTAATGTGGTATATCACATTGATTGATTTGCAGACGTTGAACCATCCCTGTGTCCCTGGTATAAATCCCACTTGATCATGGTGTATGTTCTTTTTAATGTATTGTTGTATTCGGTTTGCCAATACTTTGTTGAGGATTTTTGCATCTATGTTCATCAGCAATATTGGCCTGTAAATTTCCTTCTTTGTATTGTCCTTGTCTGTCTTTGGTATCAGGGTGATGTTGACCTCATAGAATGTGTTAGGAAGTGTTCCATCTTCCTCTATTTTTTGGAATAGTTTGAGAAGGTGTTTTGAGAGGTTCGGGGGATTTGATCAGAGATGTAAAAGAAACTTTCCACTCCAAACTGATGGACTGAAGGTATATTTTATTATATTGAGGAGAGTAAAGGCGATAATCTGCAAACAGATCTGAATAGGTCCAATAATAAGAGGGAAAAACACCAGCTTGATCGGAAAGGGAAACACCAGATTGACTGAAAATAGCAGCAGATTCGAATAGGTCATATAACAAGAGGGAAAAACATCAGATGGATCAGAAAGGGAAACACCAAATCAACTGAAGGGAAATGACACAAATCAACCAGAAAGAGAAACACCAGGTTGACTGAAAAGAGAACACATCAGATCAGTTACTCACAATATCCACGCCCCACTGCTGGGGAGAGTCTCTTCAATTGACATGGCTGGGCGGGAATCCGATCATCAGAGGTCCTGGGCAAGGTCCCTTCCACAGGTGAGACTCTCACCAGTCCTCGGTTTCCAGCAGTTTATATAGCATCAGTAATTTCCAGAGTAAGCAGTTACAGAGTTTGCAGAGCAAGCATTCAATGTGCCCATGCACAAATGGTTATCAGTGGCGTACGTGCACTGAGACTCCTGGCTATCGTCCCAGCCCAGCAGTTGTGTACGTGCATTGTTTTCACTGGTTATCATCCCAACCAGCAGTTGTGTACGTGCATTTTTTTCCCTGATTATCGTCCCAGCCTAGCACAGATGGCCAGTCTGCCCCGGGCTGCAATGCCTGAAGAACCTTGAAATGTTACAAATTGCAACTATCTCTGTGGGAGAAAGGCCAGTTCCCACCACACAGAAAGCAGCTTTATATTTTCTTTGCATGCTTGTGGCTATAGGTCAATGGAACGGCCAAACATGGCTGCACTCATGTCAAGACAGAAGAACAGGTATTAAATCATCTTTGAATGTTTGGTAAAATTCTCCAGAGAAGCCATCTGGTCCTGGACTTTTATTTTTCGGGAGGTTTTTGGTTACTGTTTCAATCTCTTTACTTGTGATTGGTCTATTCAGATTCTCTACTTCTTCTTGATTCAGTTTTGGGTGGTTGTATGAATCTAAGAATTTATCCATTTCTTCTAGATTGTCCAATTTGTTTGCATATAGTTTTTCATAGTATTCTCTTATAATCATCTGTATTTCTGTGGTATCCATTGTAATTTCTCGTTTTTCATTTCTAATTTTATTTATTTGAGCCTTCTCTCTTTTGTTTAAGTGAGTCTGGCTAAGG